TTTATTCACAACCCAACCGTGCGCATTTGTAAAATTATCAAGATGTAATAACCGTTAAGTCTTTAAAAAATAAATTTTTCGTTCGAAGAAATTTGGCAACGTTGAGAGAATTTTCCGCGGTTCTGTTTCCTCGCCAAAGATCCCCCCCCCCCCNCTACTTTCGTTTCAACCACAACTAGTGGCACCCAAGAAACTTTAATCGTTGCTCCCAAGTGTTTAAGCACCACGTAGCTGCCCCACCTCGCCCGCCTGCTCTCCCTCTGCGCGCCCATAAAAGTTTGGAGAAATGAAAATTCATACTGAATGTATTAAAGTAATAAGCGCATTGGTTGTTATTTTTCGAGTAAATCTCCATGACCTGATCGTTCACGAAAAAGATTGCCAAGTTTCAAGGAAGATTCTGCTGAGCTGAAGATTTCAGCAAATAGGTCATTATGGAAGGCAACGGGGCAGCTGTTCGGTTGGAACTTAGAGAGCAGACAAAGTAGCCACAGTGAGGAAGAACCTCGCGTTAATTACCGCTCACCGTCTCAGCGCGCCTTCAATTAGCATGACGCAATACAACATTACTCTGGAGTTAAAATAGTTGCACTGCAGCGCCTTGCTCAGAGACAGCGGCTTATTAATACACACGTCAATACTGCCGTGGTAAGGAAGAACGCCGTATGAACATTCGAGCGTTGCCGAATTTTCCACGATAAAATATAAAATTTGGACGACATTCATGCGCATTTTTCCTTACAATTATTTTGTATTAAATTGCTCACAAAACTGTCTGAAAATTTTGTAAACAAATATTCACAAATTTCCCAGTAATTTTGGTTTTAACAAGGAAACTTGGCAACGTCTGAAGGCTCATACGGCGTTTTTCCTTAGCGCGGCAGAGTACAGCATAGTGTGGCACCGATCCTTTTGAGCCATCCAAGGGTTAATGGAAATGAAGTAAGTGTTTAGTTCCTCGAGGTGTTGACATATCGGTGACTCATTGCGACAACCACTTCAAAATATCTATACTTCAGTTTTAAACTCGTTTACAGCATTAAATTCCATTATACCATTGCATTTCCAAACGATTTTTCCATTAAAGTAACAAAAATATCACTCGATACCGACGCATTCGATCTTCTTTAAAATGTTATATTTAACATTTTAAGGAAAGGAAATTATTTAAGAGGCTTGGAGGACAAGGCGCATAAGTGCGGTTTTTGAAAACAATATTGAGGTATTAATAATTTTAAGTAAAATTAGTCTAACTACGTATTTTGTAAGAAATTCGCTCCCGAATTCCAATTTTTAAGCATCAAAAAGACAGTTTGAACTGTCTTTCCATGTGATTTGGAAACTTCAAACACGTATTTTTCGAAACAGTAAAATCTGCACTTGTGTGCCTTGTCCACCAAGCCCCTTATTTGTGCTTCCTTAGAAAACCAATGAAGGATTTTTTATATCAGCAATGCATCCTTTGTTTTTTGTTTTGTTGAAGTGGCTTGCCTCTAGATTATCTCCCCTGCTCTATCGCGACACTCCCGTTTTTCTTTTCACATTTTTACTCTCTCAAAAGAAGATCAGAGAATATGTTTGATAGAAACTTTACACAGTTTAATATTCTGCTCTGTAGAAAAATTAGAGAGGTGTATAAAATGATCATTTTCGTTGGCTTTCTTCTAACCAAAAGATATATAAAAAAGAAACTGATAAAGGTGGACAGCTTTGGGAGAAAGCCATTCAATTACCGTTGTATCAAAATCACGCAACTCAATCAGAAAGCCCCACAATTTTCACTCACCTATATTAAGACTTCAAAATTGAAGTCTTATCAAACATTCTCTATCTCGAACCAATCTTAAAAAAACCGTGTTTTAATTTGATTTGGCACCACTGCAGTCAACCTCGTGAAGCGCGAATTTTTTGCGGGGTCGGTCAAGTCACGCAGTGTGATGAAAGAAGTTAATGAGCCGTTTCCTGCCAATACGACCCCCGAAGTCTTGCACCCTTAATAGGAGTTCGGGTCGCGTCAGCTCCTTGCTAAGCATGCACGGAAAAAAAAGATTTCCTGAATTTAAGTAAACGCGTCTACTTGGATTTTTTACTTATTTCAAAACGGGTTTGACTTGGAAGAAACTAACGGTTTTCTTAATGTAAGACAACATGATTCGCTTGAAACAAGCGAATCGTGTTTTCTTAAGTAAAATAAACGTTGTTTTAAAATAAGCCAACTTTTGCTTGAATGAAGAAACCAGTTTCTTTAAAATTAGTAAACGGGGTGAACGCCTTCTGAGTCCGGCCGTTGCCTCTTTTTAAGTCAACAGCATGCTTGGTAGAAGAAAATACGTTGTGTCGAAATCAGGTCTCACGCATATTCACTATCACAATAATGGTGAGAGCCTAAGTCAATGACTTATATAGTGTAAATTCGGCCGACGTAGATATAAGCCCCGATGGCTAAGTAGGTAGGGTGTTAGGTTCGTAAACTGTAGGTCCCAGGTTCAAATCCCGATAGGTAGGCCAAAATTTGCAAGTCGGTACTTGCCATGTCGAGTCTTCGATACTTGCAGATATACAATAGAAAATTTTTTTCATCAAAAATTCGATAAATTAAACCATTTTTTGCTATTATTGATCAATAATAATACATATGATATGGGTGCAGTGTGCATACCTGCAGTGACTATTTACTAAATTTAAAACAACAATTGGCTAGAAATAAGTAAACACGCCTGGGAGTTAGGCAACATCCATTCATGCCGGGCGTCCCCGTTTACTAATTCTAAGACAACAGTTGGTTTCAATACAATAAACGCGCATTCCGGTCCAACACGCCGTTTACTAATTTTAAACAAACCATTAACTTGAAGCCAGTAAATGCACGTGGGAGTTACGCAACTGTTTCCTATTTCTAAGTAAACAGTTTACCTAGATCAATACGACGGATACTCACTTCAAACCAACGATAATTTCTTAAATTTAGGAAATATTTTCACGGCATGGAATGTTTCATTTTTTTAAGTAAACGCTTTCTTCTTTTAAGGGGACGTGGAGCGTTGGATTGAGAAAACGCTATTTCTTGATCCAAGGTAACTCCGTTGTCTTAGTTCAAACCTCCGTTTCTTGTCGATACTTTTTAAGTATCCAGTTTACTTGGTCTAAGACGGCTTCGCCTTGTATTTAGGAAACATTTTTTTCAGTGTGGCTACTATCAAATGAAGAGGAAACAGCGAGATATATGCGTCAAGGGAGACTTGCCGTTAGTTTTGGACGTTTATCAATGGATGACTCTGAAAGCTTCCTATCGATGGCTACCGTGCAGAACCACGTATCTTCGTCTGCAACGTTGTGGACTTCCTGTCATACTTTATTTCCTCATTGGAAAAGTAGTCAACTTAATTTCTTGAAAATTTCCTTGATTTCTCTTCTTTATTAGAAGAATATTCCGTAGGATTTTCAAGTTACGTAGTTGACTTGTTTCTCCTGAAAAGAATATACTGGAAGCCGTGCTTTTGAAACACTGCGATGGAGATGCGTGGTTGGCACTTTAGCCATCGGTATGATGCCATCCTTGAAAATCTTGGTCTCTTTGGTGTTGTCGACTTTGGACAAAATTCTCATGTTGGACCGGAAAGGGTTAAAAACTTTAGACGAAATCAGAAGAAAACGTCACATGATTTTTCTTCAAAATCTTACATAGAAAACAGTTCGCACAGAGGAGTTTCGGAATCAACTCCTGAACGAGATTTTAAGATATATTTTAAACATAGATCAAATGGAAGTTTGTTTATATAAATGACGTCATTTTTATTTTCGTCATTTAAGCAATGCTACGAGAGTCATTCACATCTTTTTCAACGGGTCGATTTTTGAATGGTTATCGAATGATCCTAAGCGATATATCCCTATCTTAGCGATTCTATTTATCGATCAGGGCCATTCGATATCCATTCAACAATCGACCTTCTGGAGTTGATTTCCAGACTTTCCTTGGTGTGATTCGTTTTCCTTGTGAAATGTTGAAGAGAAATAATGCATATACCTTGTCTAAAGGCTCATTTGCTTGAGATCATCCGTGGTTTGTGAAGTTATTCTTCTCTGGAAAAAAAACCACATTGGATCTAGAGTCCAGACTCTTAAAAACATGGACAAGAAAAAGTACTCTTGATTCAATCAGAATCTAGCTTAAATCCAAAACCAAGCATCTTAATTTAAGCGGATTTCGTTTTGATTCAAGCAAAAATCAGATTGAATCAAGAGTATTTTTCCTTGTCAATGTTTTCAAGAGTCTGGACTCTAGATCCAGTGTTACTTTTTTCTTGACCCATGGATCTGTGAATTTCGGCAGTCCATTTAGTGGTAGACCGTCGAAATTAGTATGCCTATGTTTTACGTAATTTCACCCACGGCCTGGACCGTCTTGCTGAAGTTGCAGAACCTCCCGAGTGCCAAAAAGTTATCTTAATTATAAGTTTAAGCCTGCGTTTGACATAAGCTGACACTGAATCAATCAAAATTATTCGCAGGGGGCACCTTGCTCGGGGACGAGGGGCCTCTCCCAACTAATTGAGTAAAAAACTAATTTTGTAATTGTTTGCTCTGTTGCAGGGGTCTCGCCATCAGCCAGCCGGCATCTGTCATTCGTCGCTCCCACGAGACTAATTATTCGAGGCTGCTCCGTCTCCTGGAATCGCGACGGGTCTCTCGTTTTCCGTGCCCAAGGAAACTGAAATCCTGTTTTTAATTCTCTGAAATTCGATACAGCTCGTGGATCCGTTCATTAATTTCGCGAATGAAAGGCCGGAAAAAACGGAAAAAGTATCAAGTTCAAAAATTTCTCGACAGAAATTCCAAAGTCGGAGACTTCACTGTCTATAAATTCTGAACTCATTTCTTTTAACCCTCGATCAATGTACAGCGAAACATTGGATTGAATATGTGAGTTGTTAAAAAGGAATCTAAAAAATACTTTTAACCATATTTATAATGATTATACATCAAAAAGAAACAAAGAAAACAATTAACTGAAAATAGGTCTCAACCTTAAAACTCAAGCTGTTATTTTACGTAAATCCCTGAGTCCAATAACCGTGCGTTTAATAGTGCTTCCAGTTGTTCGTATGAGTTGTTCTAATTATTTTACAACTCTAAAACTTATTTTCAATCAACCCGTGTTTTTTATGAGAGCAGCACGAGTATTGATACCTGTCTTCCTTTTGTAATAGTGTTACATATATCATCACATTATAACCTCCAATTTTAAACATTGTAGAACCCCTAACAGTTGTCTTACCTAGGCACAATTCACAGAAAATTATACGTGCTGTCGACAAAAATAAGATAACTCTTAACCCTATTTATAAATGGACGATTAGTGTGCGGTTTTTATTTTAAAATTTCACAATCTGTGAATGATTTCCCGTGTGAAACTTTCGCGATAAATTCTAGGTGGGCGAAATCATGTTCTACTCGTGGCGTCTGCTGGCCGCGAAGCGTTGAGTGGTGGTTTTCGGTGCGTGTCGCGTCAATGTTGGACAATCGGGCGTTGAGTGATGAAGGAGGGAACCTGGTTGGTGTCGCAAGTCGCTGGTGGTGAGCAGAAGAGAAAGAGGATGGTCAGCACGCCGCAGTCTCTCTTCGTTTGCTTCAGCTTTTTCCAGCTTCTCACTCTCTTGTCCTCAGCAGAATTCGGTGAGTAAAAACTGCTATTTTTCTGGCTTAATATTACAACCTGTAACTATTACATTTTGTAAAGCCCTGGATAGACGATCAAATTCCCAAACCAATTCTGATCAAAGTGTCGGGAGTCATCAGTCTTAAACTCATTAATTTGCTTCATTTTGAAATGAAAACTTGGCAGAAATTTTTCCTGTGGCAGGAAATTATGAATGGTGGCACTCCGTTCTGATCTTACTTTGAACATAAAAGTGCGGCCCGTCAAAATTTGACGGTAGATAGTGACCACCAGTCATCAGCATGTCTACTTTGATTGGAATTGGTTCGGAATTTGATCATCTATCCAGGGCTTAGGGAGGAGCTAAGGAGGAGAAAGCTGTGTATTTCGATCCAAAAGTCCCGTAGTACCCCTATAAACCTTAAAGATCTTGCCCTAGAGAGGTCCATGTAAAATTTTGGGGGATCCTAAAAATTGTCTCCTTTGACCTACTTAAGAACACTCACAAAATTTCAAGTCCATCCCAATTTGTTCAATAGCTACCGACGTGGTACCTGGTCGTTGTGACACGGGGCTCTTGGATTATTCTGTATAGGGAGGTTTAAAATCCCCAATAAATCTTTTTTTTTTTTAGAGGTATTTTAAATTTGAGCCTCATTGCCCCTCCATCCCGTGCATCAGTAACACATGCACATCATTTTGCAATGAGGAATTAAAATCTCTGACCCATCCGTAAAAACACCTTTCTGCATAGAGAAACAAGTTTCTCATACGTTGTTTCTGAAATGAGCCAACCATTGCACTTCCAAATTGCAGAATGTAGGCCATATTTGGCCATGGACCTATTCATTAGTAACCACTAGATATACCGCAGAATATAGTAACCTTTCCATAATTTGGACGAAGTTCAACAGAATAATACATCTGATAAATAATAATCAGATAAGATGAAAAAATAATGAATCTGGAATCGTTTTTAACTAGTCGGTTTATGTTCGGTTGGTGTGGTATGTTCGGGAGGCTTAATATGTTTCGGTTTACTACCATTCGGTAATTGGTGATTCGAACGAATCTCGATCGGTATTGGTCGATAATGATTGGTATCTATTAGCGTTCGATACACAGCGGGCTGATTATTGAAATTGATAGACAAAGCCATAGACAAACGTTACATAAGGAAAACGGAGTGGTCCTATTGGTTGAAACCGGTGGTTGTAACAGACCAAGGGGAAAAATGATGGACGGACTGCAGTAAGTTAGTCTAATACTAGCTTTCTTCATCCATTGCAATCACTCCATTCCACCTATAGGATCGCTCCACCTTTCATTTTTCCTCTTTATCTATCGCTTTGTCCATCGATTTCAATCATCAGCCCGCAGGTCTACCCTTAAGTTCTTTCTTTTCATCTACTTGTACTTTTTTCCAATCGCTAAAAACCCGTCTCTTTCAATTAATCCAAGCACGATCAAAGACAGAACACTCGAAAATTAAAGACCGAAAATGCCACGAAAGGAGCTCTTAAGCCTCTGCTGATAAGATGCGGCAAATCCCACATTAATCCAATCCCGAATGCGAAACTGCAAATTTACTGCTCGGAACTGCAGTCGAACCCCCGCTTATCGTAACAACAGACGCGCAACGCATTCCAAACGGAACATCCGTCGTTTTCGCGTCTTCGCTTTTTCTCCAGCCACCATGCAGTGTACTTCCGCCCGACAAAATTAGGCGGGCCTCTCAATGAAGGGGCAAAGAGGGGGGGACGGAAGGAAATCCCCAAGGAGAAAGACCACATCGGAGCATCAAAGTAGTGAGGAGACCGCTACGGCGGGGATAATATATTCGCGCTCTATAAAACTACTTAATACGCGGTGGTTCATACTCGCGGGAGACTGGAGAGGGTGCATGCTCATTTGCCGCCACATATCATCGTTTATATGAAGGCGGAACCGGGCGCCAGGCAGCTCTGGTATGCACGCCACTTCTGAGGAAAGCTCTCTTCGGGAGACGCTTTAAGGGAGTCGGGATCGCCACGTTGCCAGAAACAACGCTGCGTATAAGGACAATAGGACGTATTCCTGCCGAACGGAACTATATGCTTTATAACGCGAGCCCTGTTATGCATATGTCGAAGGAAATTAGTCAAATCCTGCAATTTATCAAATGCCCTGGCCGGCAGTCAAATTTTGATAGTTTTTCGGAATTTTGTAAATTTATGGCGAGAAGTTCACGGGTTTTCAATATTTTGGGAAGAGTAACTCTTCAAACCCGCGAACTCTTCCCTTTTGAATGCCTCTCGTACATTTTAAATGTTATAATTGTAAAAATTCTATGTTTAATTACGTGCTGAAAATTTCATGATAAATGTGCGTTCAGGAACTAAAAATCGTTTAAAATACTACTGTATGCTGCACGTTTTTACAGAGAATTCTTTCTTACAGGAGCAACGAATTATTTTTTCTAAAATTAGGAAAATAATCCAAATTTCAATCGAAGGAAGAAGAATATTTGACTATTTGCCTAGGCATTTGACAAAATGCCTGATTTGACTTTTTGCCTTTGACACATATATTCTAATGGGTTTCAGGGCTCATATCTTGATGCACACAGTTCCGTGGTATAGAAATACGTCCAATAGATGTTCTTAGCCCATTTAAGTGGGACCTGATAGCTCGGGAGATTTTGGATTTGGAATGACACAATTTGGTGATACTTTTCATTTTGAGGAAGGAGATTATCATTTTCAATACGCATAGTTAAAAATGTCCGTGCTATAGTCTACTGTGGGTACTTTGAGTTACTTTTTCGGTTATTTGGACACGAAAACATCCTTAAAGGTTTCATCCTCAGTTTAGCCTCGGCTACTCATGTTCTTCCTTACGCTCAAGCCTCAATGTTGTCCAAGTGTTGACGCTGACGCTTTTGTTCCAGGAAATATGGGACACAAATTGATTGCGGTGGACGCACGGGTCATAAGACATTATGTTGGAGTTTTTTTTAGCCAACTTGCGTTAAAAATCAGTATAAAGCTGAAAATCTCAATACAGAGGGAAAAAGCTCACACACAAGCACGATTGGACGTATTTCTGTCAAACGAAACTATGTGCATTATGACGTGAGCCCTGTTATGCATATAATCTCATGTGTCTCAGGGCACATAATGCACATAGTTCCGTTTGTCAGAAATGCGTCCAATTTTCCCTCAAAAAGATACGCTGTTTGATCTGCAGTTGTCTTCCTGAATGGTCGTTACTAGTGTTGCACCATACAGCGTATCTCTTTGAGGAAAAATTGTGCTTTTTTGTGAGCTTTTTCCCTCTGTATTGAGATTTTCAGCTGTATGATGATTTTTAGCGCACGTTGGCTAAAAAAAACTCCAACGTACTGAAGTATGGGAGGACAATAGGTCAACTCGTCAACTAGAATACTATAACATGAAATAAAAAATTCTTCCTACGAATTAGCAACTGTCTTCAGATCGAAGTCTTAGCGCAGTTACGGCAGCAGGGCGTTGAAGGAGGGGGCGAGGACATATGAGGNGGGGGGGGGGGGGGGGGGTCGAGCTAACGGCTCAAGTGTTCGAAACGGCCCGGCTGCAACATTTAGAGGCCGGCTCGCCCATAAAAAAGACGTATTGCTGATTTATAATTGCGGCTGTTTGTGGCCTGTTTAGCCTCTTGTTTATGAGCCACAAACGTAGCCACCGAACTTCTTCTTATTCCGCCGAGCCTATCCCTTTTCTTGCCGTGGCCGGGCGCCTTTGTTACCCTTCCGGAATATTGAATCTAATGTGCGACCCCGCGCGATAATCTCCTCGCAGAAGCCTCGGCAGTTCCGTTCATATTTTGCGCTGTGATTGTAAGAAAGCATTAAGATTAATTTCCGGTCTCTCATGTGCATGTTGTTGCCAAGCTCCATTTCGAGATGCACTGGAATGTGTTGCGACATACTTCGACCCAGGGTGACATGAAATTTATGAAATATTATAAACTTGCGTGAAATTTTTCTCGGAATATTGTAATTTTTCATGAGTATGTAATATCCATTTCAGGGACGAGATACGCAAACCGCACTAAATAACTAACGACAAGTGACGCAAGAAGTCCTATTTTTTTTTCTAAGTCTCTATGTGTGCAAGACATAGAGAGTTGTCCAAACATAATTGGCAGTGTTCGGATAATTAGCCAGCGTGGGCTGATAAATATCTGCCTCGAGTAGGAAAACTGGTGTCGTTACTTATATAGCGTCACGGTTAATGTATTAATGTAGCATATTACGCTATCATACACAAGACAAAAATTGAGGGCGACTTGGTTTTCTCAATGGAGTTGTCTGGATGCAACTATTCGGGCGCCAGGGATGTGCGTGTCGCATACCAGAAAAATTGAAGGAACTCTGAATTTCGAACATTTTTCAGGAAGGAATTTTTATCGAATCAACTGGAGTTCCTTTGATAACAAATGAAAATTAGAACTGTAATTGAGTTTCATTTAAAAACAATTTCGGAAGTAACGTTCAACTGACGTTGTACTTGATTCAACTAGAGTTTCTTGGAGTTTTATGAAAATGCACGACATGGGCGACATGTGTCTAATACGTAATGATTGGACCAAGTATCAGAGACGCACCAAGTCGCTTTTCGAAAAATGAAAGGGTTTTGGAGTAGTTTTGGATTCAACTATTTGTAAATGTTTTCAAGTTGTCTCCTGCTGTAAATTTTAAACTGGGAAAAATGTTCTGAATAGGAAAATGGTCGTTAAACTTTGTTTTTAACAGTATTTGGTTTGGAGGATGAAAATTTCAATCCTCTGTTTCTTGGTTCAAACTTGATGCGACTTTGTGCGTTTCTGATAAACTCTGTCCAATAAAAGTCTAAAAAAAGCAAAAAAGAATAGTCAAAACCTCTCAATTTGTCAAAACCTTGAAAGAATTCCTTGCTTCTTACATCGCAAGGGTACAATACAACCCAATTAAATTATCTGTAGATCCCAAAAGAAACGACTTGCAAGTTAACTAGAG